CACAGCAATGAAGAAATTACTATACAAAAGTTCATAAGCACAGTTCTCTGCTTAAAAGTTGACCATGAAATTATACTCTGGATCAGGAACGAACCCCATCAAGTTGATTGGTCCAATCTTAACCAATCCACTTGTGGAGTGATACGGGCAAATCAGGTGCTAGCATCTGACAACTAGCACGCCGTGTGTTTATGCCCCTGGTACCAAGCTTGTCAATAACACTGACAACCGGAGGTATCAAATACTATCTCGACTATTAAGCCGAAAAAAACGAGTCGTTACATTTAGGTGAACAGATAACACCGACAGAAGGCACAAAAAAGTCCAACCAGTATCACAACTTTTTATGGATGAATGGACAGTTGGTGTTACCATCTCTAGCTGCGACACAAGGTCTATATGAAGACGAGAGTAGAAGAAGAACACAAACAACAGGTGACAGGATGCCTGTGAAGGGCAGAGCCGCTTTTTACAGCCGGTGACTAGGCTCTTATTACACATCACCCAGCTCTTTTAATACAGAGGACGAAGTTTTCCCCAACATTGACTTGGTATAGGCAAATGGATTTTAAAAAGCACCGATTTTTGAAGATAGAGGATGCAAATCCCAGCATTTCTATGGCTCAGATTGCAGAGAAAGGATACAACCATATCAACATCTGGATTCTTATGCTCTTGTCATTTAGGTCTCCAAACCTCCCAGCCATTTGCCATTTGTATTCAAAAAATTCAGTTGATACGGAATGGCAAACAGGTGTAATGTCATTTTGGCGTTGTATTTTGACGGTTTCATGGAATAATGAGAGTACCACGCTAACTCGTCATGGCAGCAAACGAAGCACTATTTCCTATCAAATGTCTATAAATGAATTTTTGGTACATCAAGAGCGCAGGACCATTCATAGTTAAGTTCTCTCCAGTCGACTCGATTAGAGTTCCAAGGTGAAACGTTGTTCTTTGATATACCCAAGGGTTGGCGAATGCGTATCACTCAACGATCTCCCAACCTCCAAGTGAACTATGAAGCAGATGTGACAGTACTTTTGATTCCGACAACTTTGTTTATTCGATAAAACCGTTCAGGATAGCGTTTTGGACAAGATATAAATTAAGGTAGCCCAAAAATTTATGCCATCTGTGCGCATAGATCGAAATTCTATAGTTATTTACACTATCTTTGTAAACTTCCCGACTTCTAGGTGCAAATGGAGTCCATAACTGTGAAGGCGCATTCATAGACATTCAGGGACATTTTAGACTATTTTACTACCCTCGAATAAGAGTTCTGTTTTGTGGTTAGCAAAACGCACTTATGCTGATTAGGGAAAAATAGACAACCATGTAATGGGTCTCCACCGAAACAGGGGAGAGAAATAGCTGTGAACAGTACCTCAAAGAGGTAATATGCTTCGAGAAGCGGAATAGACAAACAGTGACCTAGGTAAGCCTAATTAGAAGGAAAGAGAGCGAGCGACTCCCACAGAAATCATCAATATCTGACAGGAACTTCTAGGAGCTAGTCCATCTTGCCCATTTCACTAGCAACAAATACCTCAAAATCCTAACATAGAAGACGCTTAACAACGACACCAAAGTCCCGGATACTCGCCCAATTTCAGTATGGACAACTTCAATACCATAACTTAAACATAAAAACGTCAAACTAATATCGGAAGTAGAATAGACAAAAGGGACCAAAAAATCTACCCATTCTTCCAAATATTAGAGCACAAAGTTCTCCAAAACATATTAACTTTCAAAAACCCAAATTAATCTTTGTTTGAATTAAAATTTTCGCATCTTTAGATTCAAAATTTCATACTTGATTCCGCGAAAAACAGCTATTATTAGGCAAGTTACTAAATAATCAAATCATTTGATTTTCCGCCTAATTATTGTATAATTCGCTTAATAAAGCAATGACAACCACTACCTAGGGTCGTCGAACTGCTGATATTAGTGTATAGCAGTAAGCTCTTCACAAAAAGACATATACTTAGAAAAAAGGCGAGAAGGCAAAGTATGCACGGCGATTTTCGACACTTGCAGAAGCTGCACGTCCCAGTCGCAGACAAATCCCGCTAAAAATAAAATTGCATTTTTACTTAAACTTTGCAAGTAGGGTTAACACGCACATAAAATCACACGACCATACTTTGGAGAGTGCTAGGTGGATTAGTATTTGGGCGGAACTGTTTTCAAGGCTTCAAAGGGACTCCGATTCTCGCTTGGGTTCTGGAAGACATTGAAAAAAAAACAATGCATCAGAAACTAGTACAAATAACTGACCTGAGTGCCACATCTGCTTTTCAAGCACATGTGCGTAACAAAATGACAATAGGCAAAAGAAATGAATGTGTAGGGACTAGTACGTGCCATTCAGTTAGAACAGCTTCGCTCCAGCTCTACTTTTTCTAATTTTCACATGAATATTAACGGAGTTTATGGCCCTTTCCCCAGCCGACCCAATCCTTCCTTCGCCCTTCCATTACCAGTTGGAAGTGCAGGATGCCGAGATTACATTTACTGACTCATGAAAGGCTAATAAAGCCATTCGAAATCATACGAGCACTGAAATAACAATGGTCTTGAAAAAAGAAAACAGAAGTTTTTACTCGGAGCGTCATCTTTAATACTCCTCATTTTTTAGGTATGAGCATAAATGTCTAGGCAGAACGCCTTTTCAAGAAAACGCTTTCAGATTAGTAGACACACTGGGAGCCAATGTATATTTGAGAGCCATTATCTCCATTGTTACTACAATGTTGGCACTAAGATGGAAAAGAAGCTTGCATCAGAGTAGTGATTTGCCTTTTCAATGTGTAGATGTAAAATATCTTCATCACATACATACACGCACGCCACCTCAGTATGACCTCCACCCCCGTATTGATCGCTGTTGACTACGCTGGCTTTGATCTAAAGGGTTGTCAACGTCTCTTGACGTTCGAGACAGACGCTTTGGAGACAAGAAGCAGAAGCATCCAGAGCTAACCTCTTCCATCCAACGGTCAAAAAATTCTTTAAAAGTGGAATATGCTGCTAACTCGCCTTGCTATGGGTTATAGCCTGCATTTCAACCTTCTCAAAGCACTCTTGTAGCCAAGGCACTGACCAACACTGCCTGGTGGCTTGTAACTAAGTGCTTTAAAAGTTTCCCTATTTAAGTTTTGGGGAAACTTAACTGCTGCAACGCAGCAATTCTGTGAGGTTTACGTGAAACCAACTCGAAGTACTTTCTTGGAAGAGGTACTTGTAGCCTCTTCAAATGGTACAATTAACCGGCCTGAAAATTACAACATGTGACGCGGTTACTTAAAAGGCCATGACGTGCACTGGAAGATAAAATTTGGACCAAATACGGCCCTAAAAGTACAATACGAATTGTTTACTTTCAACGATAAATGCAACGGAATATTTACTCAGAGGATAGGCCTTTGTTTACTCAAAATTGCTAACTCAATCAGTAGTGTCTAAAATGGGTAGAGAATAGTCCTAACCTCAGGTCGGCTACAGATCTCACACCTAGTTTATTGTCATCATTTCAACCAATAGGCTTGTCTGGCAGTGAGATAATATAAAGGAAGTAGGTCAACCCATTAGAACTCACAATGGGACGACTTAGACCGAGATTCTCAAAAAAAGGAGTTAGCAACGCTTAATAATGCATGCACCCACACCTACGCGATAAATTAAGCCTTAATTCGGCCTCAAGCAGTGAGAGGAGAGCATAAACGGTTCTTGTATGCTCTATAGCTAATTATCCAAGTACCTAATATATTAACAGGATCTCATATTCGATAGTAACCTTTAAAGAGATTCGTAATCTCACTAATTGAGAGTGGTAGCCTTACACAGCAAGATCAGTTCTAGTAAAAAAAAAATATTTTGGTTCAAGTAACAAGGAGAACACAATGTTGCAACGTCTCGAATATTATCTTACTTCCATAACGAACCGAGACGAAGGGAGAGATGTCACTTGTTTGTGGCCTTCATTTCATGTGCAGGCCTGTGTACGTGACATCCATTTCGTGGCCTTACAGGAAGTCCTGTACTTACAGCCTCACATTCTAAACATTCGGCCAACTACCCAGCTCTTTTGATCAGACCCATAAACCCAAGCTGACAGCTTAATTTCATGAGAGTTGCACTCTACCCTCCTCTTCCTCGTGGAGAGAAATAGCCAAAAAGCATTCAAAATTTAGCAATGTGTTGCTAGCACTGAGACATAAGTGAGAGGAACGTTACGTTGGTCTTCTTATGAAAAAACAAGTCATTTAAAAAATTATAAGTTTCATTATTGATAAAGAATTTTAGAAAAGACGCTATGTGTATCCATTTGATGGAAAAATAATGAACTTGACACTGCGTGCCAGGGTTTAGCAACATCTTCACCTACCACCTACTCTTGGCGTCAGGCGACCACAAATGGGGCATAATTAGCAGAAAGGAAGCTAAAGATGAGGCGTGAAACTGAAACAACTGGACCAAAGTTTCATGCTTTGAAAGATCAGAAAGTTGTGCAGGTATTAAATTCGATCCAAATTCTTGACTTACTATGAAAGGGTGAATGACTGAATGAATGAATTGCACTAATATCCTTTTAACCGTTAAAAATGCTTAAGAGGTTTTCGGAGTTATGCAATATCCAAGCAACGAAAATCCTTGCGAACCTTCTTGGACCTTAAAGAGATTGCCTGATTATTTAACAGAACCCATGCATCAGCTTCGTCTACGCACCCCTAACCTGGATGAACAGCACCGTAAACAGCAGCAACGTAAAAATAATGAAACCCACACGCAGATCCCACCCAAAAATAGCTTCGTCAAAATTACGAAATGCACCATGTTTTGTAAAGTTTAAGGCCAAAATAGTAGTTATTCGTGGGTTGATTTTTAGGCCCGAATAACAGAACATTTAAAAATGCAACTTGGAAATTTTTGCGCACAAGTAAGACAGAGTCAAGAGAACACGGGCTCCAAATACTTTCACATTAGGTTCATAACTTAAGAAGAAAAAAAAGTGCGAAGTAGGTACTTACGGCTGGTTTGCTGCGATGTGTGTCCACTGCCTCGACATCCAACTTCACCGTCTCGACGATACATCGATAAGCGGAAGAGGTTAACTTGAAAACAGTGTGAAGTGGCACACGAAGGTAGGGTAGTTCAGCTAGAAGAGAGGGTTTGAGGAGGAATGACGCCCCAAGCACTTTCATTCATCACTCAAGCGACCCACCTTTGTCCATTTCAGTGAAGTAAGCGAGCAGGCATCGAGAAACAGCCTGGTGGCATATTACAAGTACGTTGCCTTGACGTTCCAGTTCCATTATCACGGGCTCCAGCCTTGCTACTAGATCTTCATATGACTAAAAGGGAAAATAAATGGTAGAAGCTGGAGGCCAAGTACATTACATTTATACAACGCTTTAACAGTCATGAAATTTGAAAGATTGAGATAACGATTCTGAAAAAATGCATACATTCCATTTCTAATTTGAAAAATCAAAGGAAAACACCAGTTACAATCAGAAAATATTAGGGTTGATATAAATGACATGAGTGTTTTCTATGATAGAGATGGATGACGAGAAAGAAAGATGACAGATCACAAATGCTGAGTTGGTGAATAGAACATTGTTGATACAGTGGGAAGGAACCCAACTTTACTCACCTCGCCCATTGGATAGCGATAATGGAACTTATCAGCATCTCTGCGAGCGAATTCGGTGGGATACTTTCCCTGAATCTCAACATAAGTCATGCCTTCACACACGCCCTGTAAGAGACCAGAAATTGTGACCAAGAGGAGAAGTGCACCAACAAAGGATGTAAGGAGGGAATGAAAACTAACAGCACTGAGTTCATTCAGAGCCTTCCAGTGCTCCAGACGTGAGCACTTGATGAACTCGGCGGTTTGAACAGTCCGGCGCATGTGGCTGGTCCAGACCTTCAAATCTGAAAGACCTTCGTGTTCCATGAACTTTCCCAACTTTTGAGAAAACTGAGAACAAAATTTCAAGTGAGAAAAAAGCCATGAAGATAGCATGGTTTGGAATAGGTATCATACTGACCAGTTTTCCGCGATCAGAGAGACCTGCATCTCCACCCAATTTGCCATGTAAATTGTACTCGCTTTCGCCATGCTAAAGATAAAGTTGGTTAAAAACAAAGGTACACGTACTCGAACTAGGTAGATTGTGCGTTTCGCAGCGTTGATATTCATCAGGTAATAGACAATCCGACTGGGCACATTGCCTAAAACGCACCAGGTGACCAAACCCGACAATTCGAAAGACAAAAAAGAGGGGGACTTAAGAATAGGTAAGGTCACCCACAGGATTCACGGGTCCCCCCTTAAAGCGTGCAGGCTTATTACAACTAAACCCAAAATAGACAGCCATTATCATTATCATCACAACGTTCGGGAACGTGTACCTGCGATTCGGTTCACCAGGTATCGCTGACCTTGATTGATGATTTTAATGAATGGGACGTCCTTATCTCGTTCAACATCAAGGGGCTCATATCGAGCAGCATAATGCTCGATTCTTTTAAGGAAGTCTTGCATTGCAGATTCCTTGTCCATACCGATGTAGTCAGGACTATTAACCTTAACCTCCTACAAAGAGTGTAGGCAATCAGATCGCTTTGGACGATAAAAAATAACATGATTTACAATGAATGCCTACCAAAATGCTTGCTTGAACAACATCCTGGTTGTCACAAATTGATTCCACAAAAATAACCTTGAAATTATGCGGCCGACAGTGATTAAGTATCATGTCACGCCGCTTGCGGGTAGTATTGGTAGCGTCGAAAACAGCTATTTCCCCGTCATCATCCAGCCATTCCGTGAGATCTTCCAGGGCTTCTCTCGCAGCTTTCCTTAGAATCGAAATAAAGTATTCCTTGCCAGACATACATTCTGATGCTCGCTGCCTCCTTGTTACCATCAGCAAAGAAGTCATGGCCTTTGAGACATGTTGCCTTTCTACGATAGTCACCAACATTAAAAACTGGGGAATCAAATATAAGGCTCAATAAATTACCTCGTGTATTGATGCCGATCCAATTTAGGTAGCGTGTAAGCTTTCGAGCCATATATGTTTTACCCCGCGCCGGCAGGCCAACAAGCACAATCACTGTGCGGTCCTCAGGTGTACAGAGAGCTAAAAATATTCAAAAAATTGGCATTTACTTCGATTTGACAGCGGTGTGAAAACTAGGGAGACGCGTCTATCAAGAGCCATCACGGAAGCTTGAAAACAGATAACAGCACATGAACATACGGGTGAAAACCGTTGTTTTATAGCATTCATTAATGCAAGCGTCAGCCAATCATATAATGATAACCTTGAAGATTATAGGCCAAAAGTTGGCATTGAATTTAAGAATACGAGAAATCTGTCACAAGATGCATGAAAACAAAGGCTATATCGTTTAAAGATTCTCGAAGGTAAACATCCACCAAAGGCGAAATCAAACACCTGTAAGCAAGGAAGAAGTCTACAACAGAAATTTGATGGTCATTTAATGCGAAGTTGACAACAACTATCAGAATTCCCACAAATCAATGTTTGAAGAACATCCCTAGTATGTGAACTGTTTTGTTGTTCCTGCGCTGACACCGTGCAGCTGCAAGAATATCTGCCGGAAAATTGACTATGGGGGAATCCTGTTCATTCCGCCAGGGAGATTTAGTCTTCGTTTACTCGCAGTAAATGTAATAACCTGCAACTTGCTCTCTAACGCCTAATGCTAAGGAAAAATTATAACATTTGTCACACCACCACATAAGCTCTCCAGTTAAAAAAATGCGTGGTATCATAATTTTTACTCAAAGGCACTTTATATATTTAAACAGTCCTTCCGAAGACGGCTGCTAGATGTTTCTTATCTTGCATGTTCATGACTGAATGTATGGGACTATACTGTAGCGTTCCGAGGCTTCCCATAGGGCAGCAGAAGGCATAAGTGAGGGTAAATACATGTATTCGGAAGACGGCAGGACAAATGGGGCTTGAGTGTGGCCCGAAGGCCAGCCACTAAAGTGTCCGCCAAACATCATGTGGTTACATAAACAAAGCATTACATATAAAGCTGTAATTTTTAATTATTGTGTCGACCTGTGTTATGATAATGTGTAGCAATCTGTGCCAATAAAGCCGCATTGGTAAGTGTAATACATTACTTATGTGACCGCAAGATATGCGGCGGTTGCTATAAAACTCAGTTGGTCCATGTAATTTTAAAGTTCCTTTAACAAATAAGTAGAAACTCTGTCTCTTCGCACTTACTATATGTATTCTGGTAATCATGATGCATTCTTGTACCTGGATTGAAGCCTTGCTTAACTTATGTAATATATACTAGTTTGTCTAAGTGGAATTTATAGGAGAGAAGCGGGAACCAGTTGGGAACGCAAATCATATGCGCGAAGACAGTGAGGAGTCTCTCTCCAATTGATATCTCGTTTTCGGCTCATCTGCATGCCAATCTCCAGCAAAAAATGCCAAATGAATCATCTGCAAAATATCCTCTCTTCAAGTCTGAGGTTCAAGGCGTAGAAGGTAGGCAGACAGCTCTTACACTTAAAATCAGAACCTGTGATTCTTCGTTCATGTGACTACCTAATGTATAACGATTACTTTAAGCATCGTCCAACCCTTGTGTGTATGTGCTTCCTTCGGGCTAAGCTCAGACCTAATCCCATTGTTCTCCCCGGCAGACATGTATTCAGCTCCACTTAATGCCTTCTTCCACCCAATGAGAAGTCTCCGGCTGCTACACTGGTGGCAGCAGAAAGCGATCTCGACATTTGTAACGACCTCTATCCTAGTATATTACCGTTTGTGGCATGGAAGTACAGTGTGGAGGAGGCGTGTTTGCATCTGGGTTGATAGAATCTCTAAATGTCTGTCTCTGATGTCTGCGCTTGACTTCGCCGTGTCCCCGTGTTCCACAGACAAGTCATCAACAACTGAAGCAGCACCACCGTGAACCATCCGTAAAGTTTCGTGTCGAAAGTTCTCCACCAAATCCGC